CATTTAGAAATATTCAAACATTAGTATGTATATGGTCTCTTATATAAATACTTATAAAATGCTCTTGACATTTTATTTTATTCTAAAAAGGGGTTGACTTATTGACATTATATATACCATGTGAAAATGAAAAAAGAAAAGAAGAAGAAGAAGAAGAAGAAGAAGAAGAGACGGAGGATAAGGAGGCGGGGAGGGGGGGGGATTTAACATACAGTGTAAATTTATAAACGATAATTTAAGAAATTGAGAGTATTTTATTTAATATAATTAAAGTAAAAATAATGGTTTATAAAACTTGTGAGATAATAAATCCATTTAGTTTCGAGTACAATGAGCTCTAAATTTATTCTAAAAAGAAAAATTAAATCATTAGATAGTAATATAAAAGTTCGGTACAATATATAAGAGATTCACGCGAAGAGTTAGATAGATTCGTATAATGATGAAAAGGTATAATTGAAGTGCATACGTAGCAGTCGGTTTTTTTTTTCCCAGTCTCCATTGAACATGCTGAATCAGCTTGTTTATAACAATCATCAATTAGCATCTGTTACAAAAAATTTAACATTTGCACAATGAAAATATTAACGAATGGATAATCATTCATGTTAATGCCATAAAGATTTAGTCTATTGATATTATTGTTTAAATCATTTTTATAGCGTAATAATACTACACAGATATACGCGTGCACATATTTAAAAATTTCAATGAAACATTACCACGAATTATTCGATAATAATTGATTAATGGGTTTACATCGTATAAGATAATTTTTTTTATTGTAATCATATTTTGAATGTTTTTTATTTTCACGATCCATACAATTCCTATGAATGACATTATTAGATTTAGGCTTCATTAATTCAAATGCTTAATCAATAATTTAATTTTTATTTACAATAATAGAAATATAACGTAAAGTTAATTAATAATCGTTACTATACGATTAAAAAATACTAATTTGTTGACTATTACGCGATTTTGTTGTTTTAATTTCAAATACGCAAGTACAGAAGTATTTATAAAGATCCTTCTTTTCTTAAGTTTACCAAATATATTAAATTTTTTACTTTATATTTTATAATAAATACGTACTCCTGCAAAAGCTGTACTAATTGAAATAAGGCATACGAGAAGTACGCTTAAATATGTGGTGAAATGAAACATGATGAGATTTCAACGACTTCAACTGTTAGATCAAATCAAAATCAATTTTCTCTTTTATAAATCCACTTAACAAACGGTTATTTTACGATTAGTGACGTTTGCGCATATAATTGGCTGGAAAATTTATAATAAAATTAAGTTTTGTGTTAGAATTTACGTAAAAAATTAAGTATGCATTGTTTGTAATTGAAGTTCAATTATTAAAAATAATGTTTGTTCTTTTTTTTTTTCGTCACTTTTATCTGACATCAGTTTAATAATTTTATAACAAAAACAATCGTGCAGTATCATTAAGAAAATTTCGAAGTAAAAATGTTATTATATATATATATATATATATATATATATGTTAGTTGTTACATATTAACAAAAGAAATTTTTTTACTTTTTCATAAAAATAAACAAAATTTTAATTGGATTTTGGTTACGTCGAAATAATACGATTCTCAAACGATTGTTGTTGTTGTTTTTTTTTTTTTTTTTTTTTAACTTTTAATACAGACTGTTTTATTGAAGACAATAAAAAAATTGCTCACGTAGTCTCTTTTGAGCCTCGTAAAACAAGAAAGTGTATTCACTATTCATAAATTAGACAATTATTTAATTAAATATTTAATCATTTGCTCATTAATAACTATAACGCTCACTTATATTTTAAATTGATTTTAATTATTAAAATATAAAATTGCATTTAATTTTAGTACGAAATGAGTATTAATGCTTAAAAATCACGTTTAATGAAAGTATGCAAATACAAATTGTATAATTAATTTTAGTTCAAACAAACTGTTGCCAGTTGACTATCTATAATTTGTAAGTAGGTAGGATTATCGATTTCGATTATATAATATAAAAAGATATCGTTATTTATATATATTTTTTTATTTAGTTTTTGTGCTTTAGCTTATAAAAGTAGTAATTACTTCAATAACAAATATCGATCCAACATTTAACTCTAATCGGCGCACTTAAATTTATCAAGGCATTGGTGGATACAATTAGTTAAATTTGTACAATTAGAAATGTAAAAGTATAATTTAAGATAAATGTGTCTGAAAATTTTATAATCGAGTATATTAAATAATTCTTTAATAAAATAGCAAATTCAGTAATTGACAAAAATTGATAAAACTTTGAAAATATTATGTAGAATTGGGACTGTTAATCGTATGCTTCTTAAACTGTAAAGTAAGATACCCGAGTGAGTAGGTCAGCTTGTCGATATGAAAAAATTATATATTTATACAAATATAGTGTTATTTAGATTTTTTCAATATATAAGATTTTTAAATTCATCGTGCGTGTGTAACGATCTAATAGAATTTGATAGAATTAGACTTGGCCAGGTAATAGTATAAAATAATGCCAACGACACGGGCCGCTCGTACTTAAGCTTTGGTTAATAAAGTAATTTAATATTACAGCTGCATTGTTACGTTTCTCGAAATTCCTACGCTTTACGACATAATGTCCATTTGTAAGAGGTGAAAAGCGACAACAGGCCAGCCAATCATTAGACAAAAAACCTTTCGGCAGAGGAAAAAAAGCAAATTGCGCATTCACTCTCGGTTATCGCGCAATAAGTTAGTGAGGCGTGTTAAGAGTAACTTATTGGAATTAACAATTTCGTGTATAATTTGTTCAACTAGCCCCTACAATCAACGGATTTAACAACGGTGCGATAGAATGAATTTTATTTCTAATTTCGCGTCAAGCAATTAAAAAAAATTGATTAAATGTATTATTTAGGGTCAGGGAATATGATTACACTGGCGACATAAATTTTGTAAAAATGTCTATAAACGGAAATTTACTCGAATCCGCTTGTAATATACTAACGATATATATATATAATGTTTAACACTATATAATATTTATAATCAATTAATTTGAATTATTTAAATTCCACGATCATACTTTATTTCATACGATAACATTATCTATGAACATATCACTATGCAACAGTTCATTATTTAAAATTTTATTATAGACCAATGGCATTTGAATTACAAGTCATTGGCTTCCAAGTATGAAAAAAAAAAAAAAAAAAAAAAACGTCTAGTAGTTGGACTAAAACTACGCTTAATAGTGTAAAGTTTGAGCCAGCACTCACTTTCACTTTCTTACTTTCACGGACTCGGACTTTAACAAACAGCATTATTATAAATGCTCAATCGAGTCGTTAACCGATAAAGATTCTCTTCCTTTGCTTACGTTTCTTTAGCTCCTCCCATTGATTAACAATACTCTATCATTATTATCGAACTATTGCAGCTGGCTTATCATACCGACGAACTTTACATAAGATCGGAAACACCGCTCTTGCATGGTAAGCACACGTCGAATTACCATAATCCAGTGCGCTTAAATCTGTCGAGGGATTGTTATGCTAAGTGGCGGGCACTCCACTGGGACAAAAACAACAGATTCGAATCCGAGGGATTGCCGATCATGCCGTGCGCGAGGTTCGTGCAAAACACGCATTTTTCTCGCAATTTTGATAATAATAAGCGACGGCGCATCGTAGCTATAACGAACTATTCGGCCAATAAATCTCGTCACCTCGTGTTTTATCGCATTATCGCCACGCAAAAATGAAATAATTGTTCTATAGTGTGACGATGTACAGTAGGGCATTATGTTAAAATGTATTTTCGATCAATTTAATTAATTTAATTCACAAGCAACGCATAAGGTGATCGATCCGTGCTCAGAGCTTTTTTTTCTTTTGTTTTTGCTAATAGCTGTGTTAATAGCTGTAATAACGTCGTTTTCCAATTACTTTAGCTTCGATTAATTTTCGTCGCGTTTTTTGTAAAAGCGAACGGCAAAAAATATGATTATTTTTACGCGATAGCTTTTGGCCAATCGAAGTTGAAAGGAACGAATGGTTTATGAGTCTCGTTAAAAGTCTAAAAGTGTCAAAATCTCTCGTCAATAATGCGCCGATGAAAAATAAAATTATGCCGAATTTTCGTGCAACGCTAATTTGAAAGGTTGAAAAAATTAACAAAATTTCTACAATTAAAATTACAGTTCATAGATTTTATTCTGTGCTATTAAAAATATATATATATTCTTAAAATTTGAATCTTTAATCCTGTTGCGCAACATTCTACAAAAAAAAAAAAAAAAAAAAAAAAAAAAAAAAAAAATGAATATAGATTTACAAAAATGATTAAACAATGGAAATCATCTAAACATACAATACACGCTCTTAATCTAATAATAGTACACTGTGTATAAAACAACAAATAAATAATAAAAGTAAGAGACATGGAAATCAAAGTTTAATCCTCTGTTGTATGAATTGTATTGAGTAAAATTTGGTAAAAAAACAAAAACAAAAAAAAAATACAAAAAAAAATACAAAAAAAAAAAAAAAAAAAAACCAAAAAATAAACAAGAAAAATCATTGATTATAATATTGTCTTTCTTTGCATGAAATCATTAGGATTGTTCTTCAACACGTAATGACTGGCGAGTGCCTCGCAGCTGAAAGCTTCCACTGGCATCACAGCATCGTAGGCTTCGAGTGCGCCGTTTCGGCTCATTCCTACAGAGACGTAAATCGTAACGAAACGTCAAAGTGCATTTGGAATATGATTGTCGTTGAAAAAGCCGAGTAGAAGAAGATTATAAAAATGTCGGCATGCCGAAGAGACGGAATGGATAAATTATGTACGGGCAGAGTACAGTATTTCATACATATGTATTACATAATTTTGTTGCTTTACTGTTTGGCATTACTATTGGATTATTATTATTATTATTATTATTATTATTATTATTATTATTATTATTATTGCCGTCCTATTACGTTTCTCCTGTCACTCGTCGAAGTAAATCTTTCGGTTTACGTGTTCGAGATTTTTTACGACAAATGTACCGCTTTGAGATTTTTGAAAGGATAATGATGGATCGAACTTTTTCTTCGACTGCGGCTTGCTTCTGTCCAAAATTTGAAAGGACCTGTTGAAATAATTCTTGCCGCTCTCCTCACTACTGCTAGACAAATGACGCTTATGCTTTTGAGCCGAGCGACGTTTGATGTCGACTGGTCTGTAATTGAAATCATCGCTACTACAACTAGAAGAACTGTCCTCGAATTTAATATTATTTCTAACGATATTTATTATCTGCTCGATCGCCTCTTTCCTTATGGAATTCACAAACATCTTATTCCTTTTTTTCCTCTCACTTTTAAGCAATTTATTTTTGTTTACAGATTTTGGCTTCGCTCTAACCATTTCCTCCGTATTATCTATTGTAATATTAAAATTCGAATTTTCTGATTCGCTCTTCGTATTTCTATTGGCAGCAGATTCCCTTTCACTGCTAATTGGCGTTCCTATTGCTTTTGATACATTTTCGGGTGAAAATATTTTATCAGATTCGTCCGAAATAATATCTTTATCCTTATCAACACAATCGTCATCCTTCCACTTCATCTTCGTCATCTTGGTTTTTTCATTTTTTATTTTAGATTTCTTGTCATTGGATTTTTTATGGCTTTTAATTATTATTTTCTTAGGAATATCATTTAAATCCGTGCTCTTTCGCATTTCAAAAGAACGCTTAAACTTTTTATATCGAAAACCGTCTTCGTCATCGATATCGCTCATAGATTCGCTATCCGAGCCTTTATCATTATTTTCTCCATTATCAACATCCGTCGATAACTTTCTCTTTGAATTTTTCTCCGTTAATTCATCGCTCTTAGAAATATCATTCAAATTTTTTATTTTTAATGAAGCCGATGCACTCTCTTCATTGGATGTTGCTAATTCTCTTAAATCCGTTACTTTAGTCTTTTTAGCTTCATTAATATTCGCATCAGCCGTAGATTTATTTTCATTTGCTCCTGATATTTCGAACTCCTTATCCTTTTTCTCTTTCGCCGAATCAGCCGTTTGAATAATAGAGTTTTTCTTTCTTGTAACAATTGCAGTAGCTGGTCTAATATTTACTAAAATCAATTATTAATAACAATTAATATGTAATAGTAATAACAATAGTAATAACAACATGAACAACAATTAAAACGATAATTTTACTAACATATTTTTAATGAATTTTTCAAATCTTTTTCTTTAGATTTCAATATACATGGAAATGTTGGTAATATTCTCCTTTGGAATGCTCTGTATCTATCATTACCCAATTGTAATATTCCTTTTGAAAATGATAATTTTTCACCAACTAAATTTTTATCAAAAGCCTAGAAAACGTTTAAATATTATTCTCCTTAACTTATAATGAAAGTCTAAATAAATAATACAGATAATTTACGGTTTTCGGAACATCAAGAATAAATATTTCTTCATCCACGGAAAGATCTTCGAAAGCCAGTGTCCATTCGCAAACATTTTCTATTAAATTATCCTTTTCAACTATATCTGAAATCTGAAATTATAAAAAATAAACAATATAACTACAAGAAAAAGGCCCATTATTATATTTTTATTTTAAATTTAATCACTTCTTTTATTTTTTCAGTGTCGTTAACTTTCTTTACTAGCAGAGTTGGAGAATCATTGACATCAAATATTGTTTCTTTACTTTCATCTAATCGATTTGGATTTAGATCTTCATTTAAATTTTCCAAAGACGAAAATATTTCTTGAGATTCTAAAATTACTCGAGGCGCATCTAAACTTTCTTGCGTTTCAGCGATAATAATTTTATTTCTATCATCTTTGTCGTATTGTTTAATTTCTTCAATACTGTTTCCAACTTTTATATTAGTGCTTTTATCATCTTTAATATCTTTCATTGCACACAATTTATTGTCAATTGATTTTGTAGCTTTATTATTTTGTGTCGATACTTCTGCAATTGGTGACTTATCTGTGAAAGACTTATTGATATTAGATAAATGATATGAATTTACTATATTATTTTCTAAATCATTAGATTTTTCTATCTTCGAATCAATTTCTTTTTGTGATATTGCATTTTTCTGTACTGTATTGTCAATTGGAACTTCGCTTAATGAAATATGTGAGTCATCTTCGCTCGAGCTTTCACAATGATTGTAAAAATTAATTTTTTTCAATTGAGAGAGTTTTTGCATCGTTGAAATTGCTATTGCCTCATCACTATTCTCATCGACGCTTTCTTCATTATTTGTATTATTAATTTGTTTCGTCGATTTCATCGATTTTTCTTCATTCTTCTCATAAAAATCAGGTGTTTCTGACAGATTTGAATTTGAAGACCGATTTACACTTGGAGCTAACTCTGGAGAATTAATATTTATCTCTTGTACTTCGTCATCTTGGCTATTATCATCCAAGGACTTTAAATTTGTCTTCTGTAACTTTTTACACTTAGCAATTGTCAGTTTTTTACATTTTATGACCTCTTCTTTATCGGACTCTTCCTCGCTGGATTTAAACAAATCAAGTCTTTTAAATCCTTTTAAACGTTTGAATGCTTCCTGAGACATAATATCGACATCTATTTCTCGATCATCTTCATTGGGTTGAGAATTGTAATTTATAGGCTTTTTTAATTTGCCAGTATTGCCTATTTCATCGTCACTACTAGAATAATTTAATATATCATCAAATTTGAACTTTTCTTCATCAGTGTCACTAGATGCACAACTTTTTGAAGTATTGCATTTAATTTCATGTGCTACATTATTAGTTGAATTACTTTTATCGGTATCTTTACTGTTTTTATTTTTTGTTAAATTTTTAGACGACGATATATTCGACTTTTCATTATCTACATCAACATCGTTAGAATGCATAATATAGTCATTGTTAGATTTATTTGATTCTTTTATATCCTTTTGCAATCTTGACTTTGGACTTTTACTCAAATGTTTTTCATTACTCGATTTAATCATATTTTTATTACGAATTGTACTGCTCTGTTCATCATTATCATCATCCGTACAAAAATTTCTCTTTTCTTTCGTTAATTTTAGACTTAGTTTTTTTTTTAACTGTTCATCATTTTTCTTTTTATCCTTGGAGCTCGCTATGGGTTTCGTTTTTAATAGTTTTTTACTTTTTTCTTTAATATGATCGTTTTTATTTTCTATTTTATTTTCATCTGCAAGAATTTTATTCGTTTGTTTTAAAGGATCGTGATTGCCAGAAGCATGTAATTCAACATTTTTAGACTCATCGGAAGTAAATTCTGTGAAATCTGATTTTTTGCATTTATTAAATTTATTCTTAAGATCAGATTTAATTTCATTATTATCATCTGTACTATAACTAACCGATTCATCAATTTCCGTAAGCTTCATATTTACTTTATTTTTTTGAGAACTCATAATGTTGGGCATTACTTTCCCATCATTTTCACTTGTTTTATTTATGTCTTTTAATTGAAAGTACTTCAAAATATTAGAAGACTTTGTATTTTTATTTATTTTTGCTTCTTTCTTATTTTTACAAACTTTTTCATCTTCGTTACCGACATTCAAGTTCTCATCACTACTTAATTGTGATAAATCGATTTGTTGAAAACTTTTTTTTTTATTCAATAAAATTAAGTTTTTCTTGTTCTCGTCTGTTTTATCTTCATTATTAATCTTTACATCTTCATTACTAGTAACTATATGACATCTGTTTTTTGGCAACTGAGTAGGTTCCATAATATTAGAAATAAGAGTTTTATCTTTTTTTACCGATTTTTCCTTACTAGCTGTATATGGCTTATCTTCTACATCTTCGCTACTTATCAATCTCATTTGTTTTAGTTTTCTACGCTTATGTACCAGGTAAGATTTCAAATTCTTTGTATCTTTATCTTCCGTTTCAGATGTCAATTTAGTTTTATCTGTTTCATTATCTGTTTTTAATAAATCTTCTCCATCATTATCGTTATTTAAAATGCATAATTTATTTGTATTTTGTTTACGTTTTTCACTATTATCTGAACTTCTTTCATCCTTACATTCTGTTGCTTCGTTTATAAAAGTTAGATTTTTATTCGCACTAGGAGATTTACATAATAAATTCTGTTCTTTTGAAATTAGATTGGACTCCTTATCGCTGCTATCAATGATTTTATATTTCATGGTCACTTGTTCTTCGCCAATTATTTTTAGGGGATATTTCTTCATTTTTTTACTATATATCTTATTTTCATTTGTATCACTTAAATTATTAACTAATTTCATACTCTTCGTTTCATCCAGTAAATTCTTCGGTGCTACATTATCCGAAGCAATGTGTTTTTCTTTACTCTTATTACTATTAATTTTGATATTTTCCTTTAATTTATCATCTGTTTTACTGTCATTTTGACATATATTATTCGCACGATTTTTGAATTTTTTCTCGTTTTCCGAGTCCTCTTCGACGTCAGAGTGTCTAGGCTGAATAATCAAGTCTGCTTTTGTTTTAGATAATCTACGTCCATTATTAGATTTTCTCCTTTGTTTATTTACCTCGGATATAGTATTAGAAAATATTTTTGTACTATGTCCTTGAAAATCTGAAGGAATAAATTCGTCTTCCCACTCATCGGAAGAATGAATATCATTTTTAATATTATTGTTTGTAGTAGGTGTTACTTCAACTTTCTTTACATTCTTTGAAGGTTCTGTATTTATGTTATTTTCAATATTTAAGCTTCTTTTTTCTTTGCCTTTTGGAGACTCTCCATTCCTTGTAACCTTGTCGATTGTCCTATTTGCACTATCGATACTGTTATTCAAAGACTTTGATAAAGATGTGTCATTAATTTTCATGTCATCATCGTAATCATAATCATCTTCGCTATCAATTATAGATTTAGTTTTTTTTTTTTTAAGTTCTGTATCCTTGGCTCTTTTTTTCTCAATACAAATCCAGGAAAAACAATCGTCGGTATAATTAACATTAGAATCTTTTGAATAAGAACTTTTGGAACAATTGTAGGTATCAGAATCATGATCATCTGTAATATCAGACTCCTCCGTTACGTCTAAATATTCGGTTAAATTTTTTAAAATCTTTTTTTTGCACTTAATAAAGCTATCGTACGTTCTAACAACGCTGCATTGCTTCAATTTTTTATTTACTAATTTAGTGCCTTTGAGAATATTTTTCTTAGGTAAGCGTGTACAAGTTAATTGATTCTCCTGTACAAGATTTTTCGCAGTATTTTTAACCAAGCACCAATCTAAATAATCATTAGGGTCCATCACGAGCTTTCCTTCTAATCCATTCATATATATATTCAATTAGTCGAAAGGTATCTAAAAAAAAAAAAAAAAAAAAAAAAAAAAAAAAAAAAATGAAAATAAATATAAACGTCTTATTATATGAAATAAAATAAGCTATTATGCATAGTACATAGATAGTACGTATATAGTAATATTGTAATTAATGACATTAAATATGTATTTTGAAAAAGCCAATTCTTTCTTTTATTAAGACCGAATTACATTCTGGCACATACAATACAATCATTTAATATCCAAAATACTATCCTATAATAAAGATTATATTGCTTAATTAAATAATTAATCGTATATTACCAGACATAAATTTAATTAAATGATGACTCAATACAATTTTAATGTTATTACAAAAGGTAAATGCATTTGCACGTTTTGCATTTTCAAATGGTTAGGCTAGAATTTGTATATAAGTCACTCGAGCCGTGCTTGAACGCTCGATTACACCATAGTTTACGCGAATGTATAGTTTAGTCGGAGATTTAATTCAGCGTTTATAAGAAAAGCGCGGGAACGTTAAATATTAGGCTCCATTAGAGGCATTATGAAAAATAGCAATATTTCGAAAAAAAAAAAAAAAAATGACAATTACAAAAGTACAGTTATTGCTTAACCGTATAAACTTCAGCCTATCCGACAGTTCGCTAAAAAAGAACGAAAAATGAAGAATTACCAAATTATATCACGGCAAATGGATATTTTATATTTCATCGCATGGTATTGCGAGATAGAGATGAAATATTTTGTGCTACTAACTGGACATTCAGCTACATGAACGAAAAGAAGGGCATATTTGATTTGGATAGCTACCATCTCGAAGCAACCATAGTCAACCATATAATTGGAAAACTTTATCTTTAGTAAGACAATGCAGCATCGATCATCGAGCATGGGAGAGATAAAAGGAGGCTTTATCTTTGCCCACAATTTATAAAATATAATGTAATAAGAGTTTTTATTTTTCATAAACGCTTGTATTTATTTAAGTAAATAAATAATAAATGAATATCAATAATAAATATTTCAATATACAATCTCTTTCTCATCGGCTAATTACAGTAAGGAGTAGTGATAGGATGAGACTCGCCTGTATCCAATAGATCTCTCATGTTCGCTCTCTCTCTCTCTCTCTCTCTCTCTCTCTCTCTCTCTCTCAAAATATAAATTTAATAAATATATAATATTTTATGATAAATAATATTAATATTCCTGTACGCCATACAAATTGTTTTATGAGTCTACGACGACTTGACGAAGCCTCACATCCGCAAAACTATCTTAACCAGACGAATAGCTTATTCATTTTGATTATTATAGTATATTGGATTCCGCTGAGTGCACGAAAGAACAAGAAGTTGTTTATGACAAGGATATGACTGTTTTGTTTCTTTTTAATTTTTAATTTGTTATGATTGTCCGAGTGTAATTATTAATCGACTGTCATATTTCCGTGGATCATATACAATTCATCTATTTTATAAGCACTTGTAATCATTCTTTTATATTTCACAGGCGAAAGAGATACTATATAAGTTTTATTTAAACAAAATAAATTAATTTTTTACAATATTTAATTTTTTTTTCTTCCATTCAAGCGTAGAAAATAATATATATATATATATATATATATATATATATATATATATATATATATATATATATATATATATATATATATATATGTGTGTGTATGCGTGCATACGTACATACCTACCCGAGCGACGAACGCGCTCGCTCGTTCGCAGGCATCACGCACACATACATATGTACGTATATTTACTTTTAAATAAATATTAGGAATTTGTTAATAATTCTGTGTTATTAAGAATATTATGAATAAATTATATCAAATTAATCCCTTTTTCTTTTAGAAATCACAATGGTTTTCTTTTTAGTAGCTTCAGAAGCTTTATTAACTTTAGACGAGACTTTCTTCGCCGACATCTTTGGCTTAGTAAATTCTTTTGTGCTAACTAATTTTTTATTGATTTTTATTATTTCTTTTTTGGCTTCGATAGGAAGCTTGAAGTAGCTTCCGGCACTGGCACCAGCACCTGATGTTTGTATCAGCCAGCCCTCATCACCTGCGGTTCTTAGTAATTTGGTAATTCTAAGTAAGCGCTGCTGATTCGCATCGTAGTTATTAATCAGATATTTTCTTATAGCGACTGTCGATGAGCCTTTCTTTTCATTTAATTTTATAATAGCGTTGATAATCATTTCTTTAGTGGTCAGCCTATTCTTGCTTGCCTAATGATCACATAAATGATTTTAGTAAAAATTCAACAGACAACAAAAAAACAAAAAAAAAAAACAAAAAAAAAAACAAAAAACAAAAACAAAAACAAAAACAAAAAACGAAAACAAAAACAAAAATAAATAAATAAATAAAATTTAAAAAAAAGACCCGACGATAGATAATCCATAATGTTTCGATTGATGGAAAGATAATATTAAAATCCACGTGCATAAATACGTTTTGTAAATCACTATTATTACATGCTTTTAAGTGAAATTAAATGTAATTCTAGAAGCCGAGGCCTCTTCGGGCAATTATAGTAGCAAGTTTTCTTTCAATTTTACAAGGGATAAATTGATGAAAAATCTCCGAGTAAACGAACTAATTTTGTTTTTATTTTCATATTAAGGAAAAGTCACGGGGGTCAATAAAAAGAAGAAAAAAAAAACCTTTAAAAAAGAGAATACCTCTGGCATTTTCCTCTCTTTTTTAGCTGCAGCCAATATCTTTGACTTGTTTTTTAAATTAAGAGAGCCTGAAAGTGTCGCTTTTATACTGCTAGCCCTCGTCGACTTTGCTTTTCTTTTCAGCGCAGCTCTTTTGACTTTTGCCGCGCTAGATTTCAATGGCGCCTCCTTCGATAAAATAAGTTGCTTGTCACTCTTCACCACTTCTTTTACTTCAATTTCGTATTCGTCGCTTAGGCTTTCATCTTTTATATCGGAATTTGTATCAGGCGATGATGCCATGTTACGGTGTGTTTTTATTTTTCTTCGATAAATTTCATTCAATTATATTTGAAATAGAAAAACAAATGAATAAGCGAAATCACGTTTAGTTAATGGATGTTTGAATTGTTCTTGCTTACTTTTATCTCACAGTCAAGTATAAGAGCGCGTTCCACGAAGTATATATGTATGCCAAAGGATTGTGGTAATGATTTGTAAACTTATGCGAGCTCGTGCCGATGTAAACAATAATTTTACTCGATCGGCTATGAGTAAACAAAATTGTCAAATTCTTTTGCAATTTCTCGACCCTTTGAACGAACGAATATAAATGAAATAATACGTTATCTTATGTTAAACGGCATTTATTTTTGGTACTTTTCTTTTACATTTGCATGTGTACGATTATTCACACGCAAAATAAAGTATAAAAAAAATACAATTTTATATTTCTTCTTCTTCTTCTTTTACTTCTTCTTTTTTTTTTTTTTTTTTTTTATTTTCTTCTTTTTCTCTCTGAACAAAGGAAAAAGCAACATAGTATTTCACTATGTGCAAGTATTGTATATTTATTGTTATTAAATACATCGGATAAACTTAACTATAAAAATAACTGTAAATGAATAAACTCGCACGTGCTCTTTATAATCGATGTCACTAGTAAAAAGTAGCCAATAATAATACTAAGAGAAAAAAAATTTAACAGTCATTTAAATTAAGCGATCCATAGATAACTTCAATAAAATGCATAGATCTAAATTATAGTTAAAAACAGTACAATAATAAAAAAATCATTCTATGATTACTGTCACATTCACTTAGGATTACTATTTATCCTTCACTCAACATCATTCTTTATCACTTTATTTGCATAAACTTAATATAATCAGTGTATGTTTTCCCAAGAATCACTTCCGTTACTATTTGTAATAGAAGAATTTCTCCTGACATGTGGCAATTCAAAATGCCACTTCGAATTTTCACTGATTTTTAAACTAATAGGAATTTCATTTTTTACAAACGGTGGTCGAGCCTTTATTCCTAATGTCGTTGGTCGTTTCTTGGGATCATCATCGAGCATCATTTCTAAAAGATTAAACTGTAACAAAAATTACACGATACTTAATGAGAGTAGTAAATTTACTTAAATCTATATATATTTAATGAATTGAAAAATGTATTTAAGATTTCATGCAAGCCAATTAGATGTTAAACAGTCTGACAAATACTCACTTCGTCAGGATATTGTAGAGAAAAATTATTAGGAAAAATAGATTTTCTTAAATTTGTTAAAGCAACGACTCTTTCCATTTCTGTTGAAAATGGAATGAGCAATTCAAATAAAATTATCCCTAGGGAATAAATATCAACTTTATAATTATAATTCTGTCCATTCATTTGCTCCGGGGACATGTAAAGATGCGTTCCAACTCGAGCGGTATGAACATTTTTTAAAATATTCACTTCGTTGGCATTGCATGGTGTATGAACTCCATTGATACCCTCTGTCATTGCAGTTACAAGTCCAAAGTCACCAATTTTTATTTTATCATCGAAAGCGAAAAATATATTCGAGGGCTGTAAAATAAATCGATTACTCTAACCGCCAACAAAGCAGTATTATCAATAGATCAAGCGATACCAGCACAATTACCTTCAAATCCCGATGAATTAAGCCCTGTAAATGGACGTACTCTACAGCATCAACGATCTGTTGAAAAATATTCAATATTCTTAAAATATCACGTTGAGAATTTTGTGTTTTCAGCCATTCTCGGAGGCTCAATCTTTGACACAGTTGCATCTGAATATACAAAAACATTTTCATATTAGATTTTCCGCTATCTTTCCGTCTCCTTAAATCTAAATTAAGTTCCGATTTTCTTTCAGTCAGATCATTACGCTTCGAGTCTTCAAATATTATCGATTGATCCGTTTTATCACTTTGTCGATCATTTACATTTTCTGATACGGACAGTCGAAGCTCTTCATTATGCTCAGCCTCACAATTACCATTCATTGGCGCGTCGAATATAATAAATGAATCCTCGTCGTCCTTATCCAGGTCGAAAGCTTCGCAAGCGCTATCTAAAGACGAGGGCTCACTCGGTGGTATTTCAACATGCGTGGATGTCTCGGGGACCGATGACTCCGAGACAAAATCCGAGTTTGGAAATTTATTATGATTACACCAATGGCGATCGTGTTCTTCTTGCCAACCAGCCGGCGGACATTCGAGCCACGCATTAAAGTAGCGCACAATGTTGTGATGATCGAGTTTTGCTAAAGCCTTTACCTCGCGCATAACTCGTTCCCTCGAATATCGACTGCAAATCAATAGATCGGCATTATTTATCCTGCCCTTACCAATGTCTAAGCGATAATCTTTCTCTACGAACCTCAACGCAACATTCATTTTTCAAAGATATCAACATATTACACTTTAAATTTTTTATTTTTTACTTTTTATTTGTAATAAATTAAAAAAGACTCATTGTTATGAAATACCTATTAGGTAATGCAATCCTTTTTATTGCATAATTGCAATCATCGATTTTATTCCTTGCTTCAAAAACTACTCCGTAACCACCATGTCCTAAACAATCGACTGGCTCGTAGTCAGTCAAGTAACGTGAGTTAAAATTAATATCACCGTCGTCCGTTTGAATCTTAAAGGTTTCATCTTTGGAATTTACAATGTGGCGCTCGATAATCAAGGGCTGTTTTGGGGGGTTAAAGAAATTATACTCTAGGAATAAGATTTCATCCCATCGGGGCATTTAAAATCAAAAAATGATGAAAAAATAAGACTTACTGGTAAAACAGCATCGTGGGTTTCAGCAGTTGCATTTAGTAGTTTTTGGGTTAACATGATATTCAGTACAATTGCCGTGGTAATGGAAATTATCAAAACTTCTTTCCTGAAAATAAATATATTGGTTGTAGGAACTGTTCAAAATTACATTTTACAAGCGAATGTAATGATTAATTATTTCATTGGTTATGTATTTATATTGAATGACGTACCACCAGTACCACAATGATACTATTATAACTTGAACCGGCGTGTCATCTTCTTTATATTCTATCGATGGAGCTTCCGAAGATTCAATTAACATATGCTTTGGTCCTGTACTATTGCATTGATTGCCATCTAACTGAATCTGTTCTTTTGAATATAAGTAAAATCCATTACCTATAAACAAAAAATTCATTGCTGGTAGTTAGAAATTAATCCAATAAAGTGTTAATTAGTAAAGTACAACCTACCATTTATATATTCTGAATTATAAAGAACGGATAACGCAGTGGAACTAAGTACTTCGCTCATTTCAAACGATGTATCTTTACTCTTATCATTTCCAACGTCTTTTGAAAATTCTTTGAAAGTACAAAAATTTGTTAATAGTACGCTCATTTTATGTGAATATTTTTTTAATAAGAAATTTCACCATTATGTACCATAGCTCTTATCAATATTATAATATTTCAGTACTGATTTGACACTAAGCACTACTAAACAACACTGACACTGAATTAATTTCAATATAAATTTACTAAAGTTCAAAAATAAAAATTTGAGCAATAATTTGATAATTAATAATGATACCAAAGTATTCATTTTATTATAAACTTGAATGCATTCGAAGAAACAAATCTTTATTATTACAATAAAAATATATCATAAAATATGGAACGTCATTAATTATTATGTAAGGCAAAAAATTTTTTTTTTTTTTAACACTTTTCATTTTTAACGATTATGTATGTTAATGTATATGCGCGCACGCGCGTGTAAATTTTTGGTTTTTTACTTACCAATAGCAGGATATGGCCTCCAGGGGTATTTTATTACTTTTAAATTACTCGACGAATAATCAATTGTTTTCTTGATAGCAGGATTTTCTTGAATATACAGCTGCCTCTTATGCATACCAATATATAACCCTGGACTTATAGAAAACTCAGAATCCAACTCAGAGTCTAATTGCGAGGCTGTAAAAAGATTAACTTCTTTTAACTGTACAACTCCATTTTCCGAAACTTGATCTTTCCAAATTGTTACTATTGGCGAGTCAAACTAGAAGCAAACAGAACGTTGAAATTCACGTGCAATAGCAATAAATCTAAAGAAATACTAATGATAGATTGTAATCTAAGCTGGAGCAAACCTTATATTCCCAAAGTTTATTTTTACGATTGTTTTTATTGAAAACTGTGATAATTCCTTCAGGTACAATCGCCTGAACTTCTATTTCTAAAGTTTTTGACAAAATTTTATTATGGCAATCTGAATTAGTAGGGGGTAACATTGTTAAATCATGTTGCCCGACGCTGAAGTTCCACCTTAAATAATAAGGCAATAAAAACCTTTGTGTTACAAAGGATGTATTGGATATTTATTAGCACCTCATAATTTTGGGTATACCTTTCAATGCCTGTCCTAGGTTCACCAGCTCTTACAGTATGCTGATGACGTCGAACGATCAAAACATCTTCTTCCAATGCGATATCTGCGCTAGTTGCATTAGAACAACTACTTGTTTTACATTCGTAAAGAATTTTTCCTGTTGAAGTTGCCACTCCTGAAAGAAATATCACCGTTCGGCATATTTGAGAATTTCTTAAATGGATTATTATAGTATAGTTGTTAAAGAAACAAATGCTGATCTATTCTCTTACTCTTGTTTCGTCCTTAATTTACGTACCATAAATTTTGGTCTCCTTGCCACCGGAAAATATTAAATCATCGGAATAGCGAAAGGACGATTGTAAAAGCTGATCGACCGAAACTGGAATAGCCTCGAGAGTTTCGCCATCAAACTTGTATAAACCTCCGTTTAACGAAGGAATTAATCTAACCCACTGGCCATTGTTATTTAACTACAAATAAATAAACTAAACGATTAGTAAATTCAATGTTTAAATTACTTACATTACATTACATTAAAACGGCATACATCTCTTCTATGGATATTAGATGAAAGTAATGGTTCTGTATTAAAATTCAAAGTCCATTGCTTTTGGCCACCACGAGCAGCGTCTAAGGCAGTTAGTTGTCCGTCTAGAGTGCTCACGAATAATAAACTATGGGAAAAAAAAAAATGTATTATGTTGAATTAACGATTAACGATTAACGATTGTCTATAAAATATAATGCATAAATGTATAAAATATCACATACGAGGAAAGCTTAACATTGTACAAAAGTGTAGGAGTACGTTTGACGAAAAAAAAAAAAAAAAACATAAAAAAATAATAATAAACTAACGTTAGTTCCGATGTGCAGATTAAAATTTATTCACAAAATATTGGCCAATAATCAATCTTCTTCGTGTCTTTCGCTTCTTCATTACAATAATAATTCACTCGCTGAATTACTGAATACTGGTAGTAAATAGATGCTTAATGCAGGACGTTCAATTGTTTATTGTATCGATAATGCCATAGGCATTACAATTAATGCTACGAAACAGACTTCACGAAGAATAACAAGACTACTACATCAAGTTCGATAAGATTAACCTAAGGGCAGTGATGATAATAAAATACACTTTGCTAATCGTTGGTAGAAGAGCGAAGAACTCCAATAATTCCCCTCCAGGCCATTCAAAACTGGCGCGCTCGAATCGTTTACATTTGACGCGCTCCACTCCTCAGCCGCCAACGTAAGATTTTTCTATTTAATTACGTCATCGTCGTTATTGTCAACGGCGCATTATCGCTCGGGAGTCGCGCGCGGGGATACCGAAGAAGCCCACCAATATTTAAAATCTCATCCCATAATCCGCGGACTACGTGACCCGCTCACCTAACCTACCAAACGATCGATCGCCAAGAGACGGGGGAACGGCAACACCTACCTGGGCAACGGACTCGTCGGCTCCGAATCCTTGCAGTACGGCAGCTGCCTTATTTCCAGGCATATTGCTATCGCGCAGCAATGGAGCGTCAGCAGAATGCTCGGCCAGCTCCATCGACGCATCTTTCACCCCCGTTCAAGTGTACTCGTCGTCTTCGGGACGGCACTCCTCAGCATCCTGCTGCGAGCTACGACGATTATACGTGACGGTCACCTCTGCGCGCAAACCTCGAGCAGCATCGGTGCTCTCGAATTCCCGTCCCTACGCCGACACAGCCGCTGAACAATCAATCGGCCGCGATTCCCAACGACTGCCTCCGACGCGACAATTATTTTCTTGCTTTTTTTCCCTTTTTTTTTTTTTTTTTTTTTTTTTTTTTTTTTTTTTTTTTTTATTATTAACCGTAACTCGCGCTGAAGCAGTCACGGCAAACACTACGAGCACGGCCCTATACACATCAACGCATTACACATGCGCGCTAGATGATCTATTCATCTGATTGTGGATATAAGCGAGCGCCCCCTCGATCGACAATTCAATAAACTCGGCTGCGCCAACTTGCAAGATGAATTTGCACTTGCGTCGCCGCCGTCGGCTAAACCCTTTTCGCTCGAATTATTCCTTCTATGCTCAATTGTTAAACTTTACTTTTCTCTAGATGAAATGTTCCGCTCTGGCTGTCCCATCACACGAATGTTTAGTTGCTTAATTGCGTCGTCGACGACGACGACGACGACGACAACGACGACGACGACGACGACGACAACGACGACGATTAGTTTGTTGCGATATCTTAATCATATTCGACTTGTTTTGTGATAATAACAGTTATACAATGTTATTGTCATATATCGAAGGTCATTTATGTATTAGGCAAAACAAACCAAAAACAAAAACAACGACAAAAAAATTAAAATGCAGAAAAATTTCAAATTCGTTATACTTGGTAAAGCGCGTGGAAAATATTTTTCGTGGATTAGATAGAGAGATCAGTTTACATAAAAACAAAAGTTATGGTCATATAATACTTTAGTCATTTGTTAGGAAATAGTACGTGGATATTAATAATACACACAAACAAATTCTATTTAAGAAACAAATTCGCGCATGTAATTTTCTTTCAAATATATGTTCAATAAAATATTAATGAAGTCTGTACAGTAACGAAGGCCAGTTGTGTTAGGTCTTCTTATAAAATCGATCGTCATTGACACCACAACACTACTACTTGTAATTTGTCTTTTTGAGAAAGATAGCAATTTATTCGTATACATCCTAAAGGGAAGTGTTATATTAGTTTATTTACAAGAGCGAAGGATAATTGCAATTCTATCTCTCATTCCATTGATAATAGTAATTGAAAGCAAGAAGTTAGAGGATGAGATGGATCGTTCAAAATGAATAAAGAGCATCGAAAATCTATTTATAAAACGATACCACGACGGAGTTGACTATTTAGAGTAAACGAATCAGAGAGAGAGAGAGAGAGAGAGAGAGAGAGAGAGAGAGAGAGAGAAGCACTTGACAAATGCTTTTTATGCTATTTAACGACTACAGTAATGCCTCTTAGTAATACTCTTCTATTATTTGATCCTGATATTTTTAGTAGATGAAACAATTTATCTCTGTTCAAGACAAGTATTTATTTTTAATAACATAATAGACAAATTTATTTTAATAAGCAAAACCGTAACTTTTTAATCATATCCTACTCATTTTCGAATCAATAACCATTCCGTTACGGTTAGTTGCCATCATTTTGTTTTTTTTTTTGAAAATTAGCTCACAGAAATTTGTACCAATTAAAAAGTTAACTTTGTTGTACCGCGTTTTAAACATTCTATGAACTGCGTTTTTTTTTTTACGTTTCATGAAGAACCAAATCAACATAATCATATGAAAGGCTATATAAAGGAATTAATATCTCTAAAGCGCGCGCGCGAGTACACAGGGCAAATTACCTTCGTCGCCGAGATAACACAAAACAAAGTTAAGACGGGAAGACAAGAAGGGGGCCAGTAATAAGGTAAAATCAAATATATGAATAAGTTTTATTCTTACATATTTTCTACTCATAGACAATTTTTATTGTTTGGAAAATAGATTTTTATATCTTCTATATGCTTTAAAGATTATTGAATTTTTTATTTAAAACGAAGTCACTCATCCATTTAATTATCTTTGGGTACTTCAATGGATTCTGCTGCCTTTGTTATGTAATATATTACCTTTGTTATATAACGCATTTTTAATTTATAAAGCTAAATACAATTTGTATTTTAAGAGTGATGTAATGTAATAAACAATCGTTTTTTTTTTTTTTTTTTTTTTTTTTTTTTTAAATGAAAAGCAAGAAAGAAAACTCGTGCTATTATGTTGACGAATTAAAACCTTTCTAATTTCTAAAGCAGGAGAGAATAAATAATAATGGTCATCATACTCCAGTAGATAAAAAAATTATTTGAAATAATATAAAACTTTTATATACATAATGTACTCTGGCAATACATTTACACATATTTCACAATATATTATAAATGGCATAATTAATTTTTATAGAAAAAAGATCAATAAGCAATAACACAATAAGAACAATGACGTCAAAAAGCTATAAAACTAAAATAGTCTGCTTAAATAGAAACAATAATGTAGTATTAGAAAATGTAATACCGATAAAGGCTTGGGTGCTTATAATCAAGAAATGAGAATGAGTAAAAAATATTATGAGCATAAAAATCAAAAGAAAAATAACAAAGTACAAAGCGTATATGAATATAAACTTGATAAACATATTGTTAAAAATTGCAAAAAAAAAAAAAAATTGTCAATAAATAAGCGTAATTAATAGCTGATGAGTAAAAAAAAAAAAAAAAAAGAATAATGCGAGCCTTAAATATAGGAAACAAGAAGACTCTTACACGATATTCAATTTACAATGAGCTGGAATTATTTTCAAATTCTATCAAATTATTCGCAAATTATATGAGTGGGCTATTGAAAATTTCTATTTTAAAATAGAATAGTCAAAAGATAAATATGTTTAATTAATTGTGTATTGTGCAGCTTAGGTATCGCTTGCTAATTAATTCAATATGAAACAACGAGATAAATCGAAAGAATCGATTGCTATTTAAAATATAATATAATCGGTATAAACGTATTAAAATACTGAAATTAAAAATAAATATATAAAAAATTATTATTATTTTTATCCAAGAGATTTTACTTGCCACAAAAAGATAAGTGACTAATAATAATAATAATAATAATAATAATAATAATAATAATAATAATAATAATAATAATAAT